GGGTAGACCTTATTGCTCTCTACAACTACCTTAAAGGAGGTTGTGGTGAGGTGGGTGTCAGCCTTGTCTTCCATGCAACCAAGGAAGGACAAGAGGAAATGGCCTCAAGCTGGGCCAAGAGATGTTCAGGTTGGATATTAGGAAAAAATTCTTCACTGAAAGAGTGGTAAAGGGAAATAGTAGAGTCACCATACCTAAAGTGTTCAAAAAATGAATAGACATGGCACTTTGTAAAATGGTTTAGTGGGCCTGGTGGTATTTGGTCAAGGGTTGGACTTGATGATCTTGGAGGTCTTTTCCAACCTTAATGATTCTATGAGCATTTGCATAGCCTTTGTTGTGGCTGGAAAAGTATTTGAGAGGCTCACTGATATGTTCCTTTGGCTGAGTAATTTCTCCAAGGCCTGATTCTCCCTTGCATTGCATTCTTGATAATCATTCATGCCTGTGTAAAGTGCCTTCATATTGTAACGCAGTGAAGAACTGGGATGACAAATTCTTCAGCATCAGAGGGATTTTTTTCTATATATTGTCACTGAATACTTGCAGTTTGGTAAAGAACTGCATCAGTTTTACTTGTATCTTTATCCATGCTGCATGTGTTTGAGCCTGAATTCCTGCAATGCAGCATATGCCTATCCTGGGAAACTCTTGTAGCCAGTGCTGAGTGCCATGATTTATTATCATGGGAAGTACTACAGCTGTAAGCAGCAGCTTAATATGAAGCATAAAGTGGGACTCAGATCCAACATGATCAACCTGAAGAGGTCTCCTGAGGGCCACCAAAGCAATTTCATTTGGGAATCTGTCTCCAGTGACTGAATAGCCAGGCCTAGCACCTTGCTGCATAACTGTTCAAACCGCCTTGGTGCCATTCAAAGGCTGGACATGGCCATGCAGCCTGATGGGGCTAACAACTGGTCTCACACAAATAACCTCTAGGCCTTGTCCAGGGATTGAGATGGCTCCATCTCTCAACTTGGATCACAAGTCAGTTTGAGTGGGGAAGAAGTATTAATCTTCCCAAATCACTGGATTTCTGAACCAGCACATAAGAGAAAAATTTGGGCTACAAGGAATCTAGCAGTTCTTTTAAGAAGGGCAGTTGTCCACTAGACAGTGCAGGAAAACAGGTTGTTGGAGACTTGCATGGAAATTAGGTGCCCTTGTAGCCAGGGTAATGGGAGATATCTGATCAGAAACTTCAGATGGTGTGTTGGTTTTTAAATGTTCTTATTGCTGAACTTCTGGCAAATTTACAAGGTATTTACTGTCTCTTTTAAGTCAGAGAGTGCAAGTTATGATTAAGAGCTCTAAAGAAAAGTGAGTCTCACTTAATTGTCATTTAATTCCTTAAAATAAAAATAGAAATTCTATGAAGTGGTAATTAATTCTGGGGCATAAACCCAGAATTATATAAGCATTTGAGCAAAATATGCTCAAATGTTATATGCCACAGTCATTAAAATGTAGATCAGTCTAACTGCATGATCTTGCTTATATCCTTCAGAAAGAGCAGTCCAAAATAAAAGTTACTAATTTTTAAAAAAAAGGTTGCTTTTTAATAAGAATGCATGATGACAGATGTAACTGTTATTACCCTGGTCCCTATAACATAATGAGGATCCTTATAAGAATATGCTATATTTTAAAATTGAAAAAGTAAAAGGGGGACAGGAGACTTCAGCAGTGTTAGCATAGATGGGAAAATATTGTAATGTTTAATTTTGTAGTATATTGGCTACCATTAGAACAGCAAACATAGATTTCCAGATGTTTGTGAAGAATCCAACAGTTATATTTTATATCTAGAGCTGTAGTAACAATTTCTATTCAGCAGCCTAGAAAAACGTTTCATGTCACAACTGGAAAGAAATATTACCATGGGTTTTTCCCCCTCATCCCCTATATAGCAATTTCTGAATATTTCAGTCAATGACAAATAAAAATGATGGTTTAAAAATTAAAACCACAGTCACTAAGGGCAGGACATAAATGTGCAGATGTTTTGTGATGCTCAAGAACTTTTCAGTAACAATGCTGTTGTGGAGAGGACTGGAAATCCATCAGAGCCAGACACTGTCAAAGGCATTCCCTAAGCTATGCTGTCTGAAAAGGCAGTTAACTTTTCATGGTTTTTCCACATTTTCTTAAGGAAAAAAATCAAAACCACAAAACCTATTCGTAATGGCTTGTATATAGCTCTCACTATTTTATTAGCAAGGGATTAACTGCAATCTGTTAATATAAGTGAACAACCTAAAACTGGAGTTCACTGGGCAACCTGTATAAGTCAGGAAAGCATTGTCCTGAAACTGTTTGCAAAATATCCATTTTCCTTCTCCAAGAAGGAAAATTTTTTACAAGCTTCCCAGCTGTTTCTGTCGCCTCTGTGCCTTAATGAAGTTATACAAATGGCTGCCTGAAAATCTTGTCTTTACTGCACCTACATGGCTGGACAAAAGACCAAGTTTTTTAAGGCACTCCTTGTGACTGGTACATTTAATGCCTGTGCATGAAGACAGACCTCCTGCCACCCAGGAGTTGGCAGACTGTGACCATGCATGTAGCACCAAGCCATCCTGACAGAGCACGAGCTTTTACTGCCAGCTCTCTCTCTACTGCCCAGTAGTAGTTACAAGGATGGGAATAAAGATAAAAAATATAAATGGATGTCAGCTCCCCTCTCCTGTTTATTTTACTTGCTTTTAATTAGTAAGGTGAGATCACAGCTGAGATTTTTTCTACTGCCTGGCCCCTCTGTGCTTTGAAAGGTGCAGAAACAATGCAGAAACAATCCAACAGTGTCAGGATTCCCCAGGCAAACAAAAACTAAGAAAGCCATGCACAGGTGTGCCACCTCCTAGCAAAAGGCAGCGGGGATGCTGCAAGTAAAGGCAATGTGTTGGCTTGTGCAAGACAGCTAGTCCAGAGGGGAAAGGCTGGCATATGTTAGGGGAGGCAGGTAGAGGGCCAGAAATTGTGCAGCCATGGGGAATTGTGAAGTTGAAACCACCTCTCTGATGGGCTGGCCCCTTGTCAAAGCCTCAGGAATTGCCTGTTGTATGTGGCTTGTGCAAGGTGTCAGGTATCAGTTTTCCATAATGAAAAACACCATTACCATGTAAAGACAATTCTTTAGGTGCAACATAGCAGAACTGTAATTAATTATTAGATATTATTTCTCACAAAATGCTTCTCCAAGATCACATTGCATTAGCCACAATATTGGCCTGATGGAGCATAAACAAGGGTAATGATAAACACCGGTGAATGGAATTGGGAAGAGATGGTTATCAGGGTACCAGTGTGTTTCATGTGGGGTTTATTTAACAGTCTCATTAATGATCTGGAAAAGGAAGTGAATAACCATTTAATTAAGTTTGCATTTGATACTAAATTAGAAGTTGCTGCAGACACCTCTGAGGGCAGCGAAATAAATCAAAAGGAGCTAGAAGCTTGCAAGGTAAAAGAAGAAAATGAGATCTGGTATGAAGGAAAAAAGCAAGCTAATCTCTCTGTAGCAAATAATCATGTAGCTATCAGTAGAAGAATTCTGAAGAAAGCAGTGTTGAAAGAGAGGTAGGGATGTTAATGGACAATACATTCCCTCACAGCTCGGATATATGTTTACAGAAGCAGCACATCAAGGAGCAGGAAGGTAATAGCCCTTCACTGCAGGGCTGTAGTGAGAAGCAATCTATAATGCTGCACTCTGTTTTGGGCACCCTGTTATCAGAGAGATATAGACAAATTGGAATGAGTTCAGAAAAGAGCCATAAAAATGATCCTATATCCCTGGAGATAATGACTTATGAAGAAAGATCAGAAGAAGTAAATGTGTAAGGCCTTGTCTGAAAGATGACTGAAGAAGGACAGGAAAAAAATCTGCAAAAATGTGAGAGCAAAAAGGGAGGAGGATAATTTATCATAGTAACTATTAGTAATAGGATGAAATAATAAGTAACAACTATAAATTCTAAAAGGGCAACTTCTGGTTGAACGTAGGAAGAAATTTCTGACAGTGGAATTTGGGTTAGTTTGCAGAGAAGTTTCCCAGGGGTAAAAGTAAAAGCTGCATTCAAGTCATTTAAAATCAAATTGGACAACTCACTAGAAAATGCACCCTGCTATAGAGAGCAATATTGCATTGCCTAGGGAATAAGCTGAATGACTTAATATGATATTTCACACTCAAGTCTTTATGACTGTGATATTTTTAATATACATGGTCAACTATTTCAGGAAAATACACATTTCTTCTGCTGTCAGGTCTGATAATACAAACACTTGCATGCAAACATAACTTTAAAGAAGGCAAGTAGCTCTGCCGACAGTACTGCATTGCTGACATGCCAAAACACAAGCCTGAGCTCTTCAAGTTTTTGCAGGCTGAGTCTTAGATCTTGAATTGTCAATAATCAAGATGGTATATACAGGTAACCACATCATTTATGGGCAGGTAAGGAAGTGTGCAAAATGGAAGATGGGGGTTGGAAGCTCCAGTGAAGATGTATCATTATTGTTATTTTTATGGTTATTGCTATTACTGCTTATGACTGGTAGTGTGGGGTTCAACTCTGTTTCTTAATTGTTCACCTTTTTGGTCTCCTGCTTTCACCTCTGGGTGAGTGTTCATTAGACAGCATAAAACTGCTTTCTATACTGCTTTTTTAACACTTAGTATTTTTTAAATATCTATGGAATGGGAAAAGACACAAGGTGAAGTGAAAACCTGACTCTTCCCCAGATGAAAAAGATGGCAAAGGCTGTGAATTTAAATGGATATGAGAGTAACCCCATCTTTTCCCTCCAGTTATAGCAATGTAATGTTGAAGTCACTTCACAATTTATTAGCAGCAGAGAAAAGCTCACAGGCATTCACAGAGTATGCTCCTAAAACAGCACGGTTCTTATACATGGGGGTTTCATGTTTATATTCCTGTTTTCTTCTCTTCCCTCCCTGTCCCACACCCATGGGCTGTGTGTTGGGCTGGCAGCCTGGTGGTGCCGCAGGCCAGTGCCCGAGCCTTGGGACTCTCCAGCAAGGGCTCGAGCAGCAGCAGCTCCAGTGAATCCGAGAGCAGCTCAGAGTCCGACTCCGAGAGCGAAAGCAGCTCCAGCGAGAGTGACGGCAGCAAGGCCTCGCACTACTCCAGCCCAGAGGTAAGGGCTTTGCTGTCATTTGGGGTGGCACTGCATTGCTACACACACTCACACCTTCTCCCAGCGAGACCAACACAAGGAGGCTGTGAGGAGATGCATGGAAAAACAATGGGAGAGAAAGGCCCAAGGATCTTCCTCCTGGCACACTGTGAAATGTAAGTGGCAGTGGATGTTGGGGCAGATTAAAGCATTTGAAACAAAAATGAAGAAAGAAATATCCCTGTTACATTTTGCTCAAATTGGAGGTGAATGGAGCACCTTGCAAGGCTCACAGCTTGCCTGAAGTTCTATGCAAGTATGCCTCCATAGCAATGGCTTGCTTAGTGTGTAAGTCTTGATGTGGGCTCCCAGCACTGCAAGGGAACTAATGGCTTCTCCACGCAGGGAAGCTATTATAAAATCAGTTTGAGGTTAAATTTTTAAAAGAAACCAGTTGTTCACTCATGCACTTCCCTTGCCTCACTCTCTAAGTGAATTATTTTCTGCTACTGCTGCCTTTATGTGATTTCTTTCAATTCACCTCCAAAATGGACTAAACTGAATTACTTATGGTGCAAAACACTGAGCCCAAACTAGTCATCTGGAAAGCCAGCACGGAAAATTTCCACATATAGACAAGCCCTAGCCAAACTACAATTAAGCTGCCAGTGCTGTGACACCTTCTGCTTCCACCTCTGCAGAAAGCTCAACAGACACAACAAAGCTGCTTTCTCTGCTCTGCTTTTCTACCAGGATTGACATTTTTACATGTTTTGGTCAATACACACGTTTAGAATTAAACTATGAACTCCACAGCCACATCACACACATTAATGTATGTAAAAATATTCCAAAATCTAGCATCAAGATTGTAAATACACATGAAATACAGTCTGTATATTTTCCTACTCCACATAAACCATCCAATCACAAGAATCCTCCCCACAAAACTATGTCTCACCTATTCTCTCATTCTGAAAAAAAAAACTATGCTGCAAAAACAGCAAACCTTTCCTCATATTTTCCTTGGTTATTTGGAGACATATTTCCAATTGAGCAAAATGCAGTACTCACAGAAACATCCTTAATACATTTTTCTCAGGTTCTGTCACTTTTGTTCCTTGTTTTAACACTTATCTTCTGTCTTTCCTTCACAGCACTTTCAGACCCATTTCCAGCTAATTCTCCTCTTACTTTGTCCACTTTCTCCATCTCTCTCTTCTTTCCAGTCTCTTGCTCTCCCTGCAGTACCCCATGTCTTATTTCCCATTCTGAGCTTTCTTATCTGACCTGTTAAGACCTTGTTCTCTGTCTACTTAATTCCCTGCTGGAATTAGTGCAAAGATCTCATTCTTGGTCTCTCCTCTCCCTGTGGGATCTCAAAAGGCGGAAGAAAATGGGCAAAGAGAAGAAAGAAAGGGGAAGGAAATATGAGATGAAAAGAGGAGAAGCACAGGAAGGGAGGAGTGGTTACCATCTAGGCAGATACCCATGCTGCTTGAGCCCAGGAGCAGAAATTCCTCAGAGAATGCACAAAGCTAATTAACTGAGGCAGGTCTTGGATTTCATAAAGTCCAGCAGAGAACTAAGTCATGGAAACATGGAGGAAGTGCCTCCTCTTAAGCATTTTATGCATATCCTCTCGAGATCTGTGGAACTACTTTTGTACAGAGCCTGAGCTGTCAGTGATCATTGTCACGAAACAGCTGCCCCACTCCAACAGATTGCTTGTCTCTTTGCATTATATTTTTGTGGTTTGCCTTCTAGGACATGCTGGATGACACATGCCTACACAAAAATGTAAATGACTCACAAATGTGATGGCTGCAGTGATTTTCATAGGCAATTTTCATCCCTTGATGGGATCTAGGAGACAGCACACACAGATATGGGTGTCCCAGGGAAGTAGCATACCTGTGTTTTCCCCAAGGGTAAATGCTTTCCCAGGGCTATCATATGACTGATGGAACCAGTTCAAACATGCTCAAGTGATGTCTCTGACTGGAAGTCCTTTTAGCTTTGCATAAATGCTTTAACATACATTTATGCACCCAGTGAAGCCATCTTTCTAAAGTATATGCCAGTTTCTTACCCAGTAAATGGAAAGAGACAGGCCTTTGGAAGCTCCCTAAAGGGAGGCCATGTCCACCTACTTTTAAGTAGTGGACTCTATTCTAGATTTAGTCTTAAAATTAATTGGCTAAGACAAAAAAAGTAAATACATCTTGGTTTTTGATTTTGCATTAACTGGTGCTTTCAGGTTCAATGAACTGGAGCAGTCCAGCACAATGCTAGGCAGAAACTCCGTATTTAAAGGTTGGGAGGAACTTAATGTAGAAATCTGCAAACCATTATGATGCCTTCATTATTCCCCCCCCTCTCCCCTCCAAATAATCTGAAACATTATATGCACATACTCAAAGACTTTTATTTCTGGGACGGTGTATCTTCTGCACTTGAGGTTATATAGCAATTCAAGCGCTATTTCATGTCTTCTGTAATTTTTTCCTCATCTCATTTTGAGATTTTCAAGTTGTCCTCAGGTGTCTAAATGCAGCTGCCTAGAGTGAAAAAGCAGCTCATTGTAAAGCATACATATAAAGTAGATTAGATGAATTGCACCCTAAAAGTGTCTGTTTCTTTCCATTGACTATTTAGAGCCAGTAGTGACTAGCTCAGCTGTCTTCACTTTATGCCTGCAGTAAACTAAGAATAATGGCTGAGCTAGAACAGGAGACAACATTCAGACTGGTTTCAGTGATATGGACAAATTAAGGTGCCTCAGACATTAATGGGAGTAGTTAAAGCTTTGTGGACTGCAAACCTAAAATTATGAACAAGGAACTGAGACTTCCATCTCCTGTTTCTTTGCTGAAGTCATGAATTCTTGGAATGACGTCAATTAATGTCATAAATGAGGAATCTGGAAAACAATGACATCTTATCCTTTTTCAGGTGGTTGAAAAAAATTTGGGTGCCAAGTATATAGAAAAAGCTACATTTCCAAGCTAAAAATTTGGTTTATTTGTTCTTTGTTCCAATGAATTATCCTGCAGGCCTTTACTGAAGCTGTCTTTGGTTAGACAACCATGAATTCCTGCTGTGAGGGAGGATAAGAGTGGGGAATGGGCAGGAAGGAAGCAGAGAATCTATCCCATGGGACAAAGGATCACTGGCCTCACCACCTGTAACCTGTCCAGAAGAGAAAGATGCCCCTTTCTGAGCCTCACCAGCCCCATATACCAGATGCAATGGCCTTTACAGATTTTGCTGTTGTAACTGTTAACAACCATTAGTTTCTTCCTCCATTTTAAGGAATCACATATAGGAATTTTACCACTAGACCATCGGAAGATGCTATTGTTACCTTTGCAAATAGGATTCATGTGTTCTGGCTGTCCTGCAGACTATTATTGACAAAGACTGCAAACTACACTCTCCCTTCCCTTCAGAAAACTCTTTGTGCCAAGAACCACCTCTTAGAGTATATGTGTGCTGTGCCTAACACATGGGAATGCCCAGTTCTAATTTGTTAAAGCACCATCAGCAGTGATAATAGTAGCAATATAATCCAATAGTAATAATAATCATCATCACCATTGTCTTCATCATCATTGCCATCTGTGCCTTGAACATAATGAGAAAGCACCACATTTGTATGGGCATTGCCCTGAGTGAAATATTTGATAACAGGGCAGCACAAGCAAGTTACCACAAGGGTAAATTAGTACCTGGATTTATAATAGGCAGGGTAGCTTGCAGGGATGGTGGGCTAAGTCCATGCACATGTTATGGGCTCTCATATCTCTCAGTGAAAGTGGTGTTGTACTTCAAGTTTACCACATATTAGCCATGCCTTCGGTCCCTCTTTGTAGAAACAAGCATAGAGGGACCCCATTACACTGGCATTGTTTAACAGCCCTTTATCCTAGAAAGTGTTTCTGGATAAGATTTTGACAAGTTTCTTTTTGGATGCATGCCATTCATGCCTCTGGTTGCACTTGCAGCCTTGAAGAGATCTGAGATATATAGACATGCTGCGTGGGAGTCATCCCACCTAAATCTGCACACTTCTCCTGTAGATACCTACATCTGCTCACCACCTCAGCCTCCCCTTTACAGTCTGTGGAGAGGAGAAGACGTTTTTAGGGCCCAGCTCATCTGGCCTATTTCATATGTCTATTTCAAGAGGGAATTTTTCACACCCTAGAAGAGTAGTTCACTGACTGGAGAAGGAACTTGTTGACTAGCTAAGATATAGGTGTCTATGTTGTACAGATGAATCCACCCACAATATTTAAGGAAATGTATCACATCCTGTTTCTTCATGGAGCCTGGCACATGTGTATGTCTGTGGTATGTTGATCCCTGAAAGTATCTTAGTTCTGTGAAGTTTCCTGGCTTGAGTTTTCATGCCAAACCTATATTTAATTGCAAGTCAGCTGACCAACCTATATTTAATTGCAAATCAGCTGATCACAGACTGGTATTCCTATTACCAGTGCCCATCAGCACAGCACTGCCTTTACCCCAGTTGAAAACTGCCCAGTTCTCTAAAAGGCCCTAGGGACAGCATATTTCCATGGCATCAAAACCAATGGGCAGAGAGCACTTTGGTATCACAATATTCTGAATATATATTCATAAGTATTTATATCCTTACATGCTGCTGGAAAACTTTCAATTCAACAAACCAACTTTTCTTCCATAGAATGGTGTGTGGAGTGGAAATTGGGGATTTTCTTTTTCTCCCACAAATAATTACAATTAGGCACGTATAATGGATGGCCAAAAATTTTCAAGTGAATTTTCCCAGTCTATTTTTTCACCAGTCCTGCTATCTATTCTTGGCTGTCATGATTTGTTCTCTTGCAAGGTGCCTTCTTTTTTTTTTTTTTAATGTGATCTCAAAGTACAGTAATTTTCAGTTAGAACAATCAATTAAATAAATTACTTCCAAAAATGAACTGGCTTCGCTCATGTACACTGAGAATTTCAAATATTCAGAAATGGTACCAGGGCCCAAAATTAGTGAGTAAAGTTTTAAAATTCCAATTTTTAAAGTTTGGATTCTTTTAAGTTACCTGATAGGCTGCAGACATTTTACTTTTATCAGATGAATCTCAAAGGATTTTTTTTGGCAGACAGATCTTGGGGTTTTTTTTCAGAAACCACAAGGATGTGAATTTTTATTTAACTAAACCTCAAAAGCACACCTGAAACTCCTGACAGAACCAGTAAAGCTGGTAACACTGTTGATCCCTTTTAATGAACTTCCTAGCTGGTGGATAGGTTGGTAGGACTACAGGTATTATGCCTAAATAGCAGACATACTACTCTAGCAAAGTCCTGCACAGCCAGGTTATGATGCTGCAGCATGTAATCAATGTTTCCTGCTGGTTACTGTCATGCCTTGAAATCTGTGAGCCACTGTTTTCAAGAATTACAAGATATATAAAGAGGCAGAAGGGGATGTAACAGATGAATTTGGAAGTTTTTTTGAACTTCCAAGCAGCACTCACTCTGACCTACCCTTGCAGGCAGAGGTGTATTCTTCCCCACGTGGTTCTGATGTATCCCCTTTTCTGAAATACTTCTGAACAGTGGAAAGACTTCCATGTATAGTGAACCTTTTATTATATATCTAGTAAATTCAGTATGTGCACAGTGAATGGCATCAAACATATCTGTCTGTATTTTCAACAGCAATAAAAAAAATGACGTTCATTTTTAGATAAAGAGTTAAGGGCTGTAAAAATACAGCCTCATCCAAGAGAAATATTGACCATCCATTTTCAAGATTTACAGCTCAGGAAAGAAATTCTTCATGTAAGATATTAGGAAGTATGCTTTAAAAAATACAAATGTAAGCCAGTCTGCAAACTTTCCATAGGTCTGGGTTAGCTCAGTAATGAGTAAATTAGACACTTTAGCTAGAAGGAATATTTTTATCATATGAATTCCAATATATAATTTTTTTGCTTATTTTAGGAGCCTTTGCTCCTTGTACAGTGCATACAGTCCTCAGTGGGTGATTCTGAAGGCGCCCTTGGCTGTACAAGAAACTTGTGTTGCCCTCAGGCATCTACTTTAAACAAGAAGTAAGATACTCTTTTAAGTTAGAGACTGTGGATATTCTCTCTTGAGCAAACTTTCTTCCAGAGCACTGATGGTTTTCATGTTCGACTCATGACACAGTTTTTGATTATTCACATGCAATGGCCTAGTGAACCAAATATTGGTTCCATCTGAGGAAATTAGGAAATTTTTCACTTTGGCTTTTGTGGAGTTAGGTTATGGCTAGCCATCTACTCCATCATCTGTTTTTTTCTGGGGTTTTTGCCTCTCCTCTTCATTTTATTACATTCAAATTACTGATTGCAAGCTCTAGAAAACAGTCACACATTGTTCTGAAATAACATTGTCTCAGCTGTGGTTACATTTGAAATCATGATTATCCCACTTCTTCCCTGTCCTAACACCATTATGTTTTAAATGTGCCCTTATAACTTGATAGTGTTGTGACAGACATTAAAAGAAAAACTAACAGCCACACAATACCCACAAAATGAACCTTGACAGCACCACCACACAACAAATGTTTGTGGATTATAATGTCAATACAAGACAGGTTACATGAAGCGCCTGGTTAGCCCTCCAACTCCCTACCACACGCCACTTTGTATGCTTCTTAAATGCTTTCTGTATTTACTACAATGGCACAGGCCACACAATGCACATCCCTAGCTTTCCTGATGGCTATTGTCCCCTAGCCTCAGCTGTACCCTGCCTTGTTTTCCCCCCTTCCTATCGCCATTGCACTTTTTTCTATTTGGAAACTTGGGAGTGTCTCCCAGTAGAGCCAGTGGCAGTAGCGCTGTTGTGAATCACCCTTGGAAATGATGCATCACAGAAGCCCTTCTCCCTGTCATGTCCAAACCCCATTCTGAAACCAAAAACATCCCCGATTGCAAGGCATGATCTCTGTCCTGCAACGCAGGGCCAGTGCCGAGGGGTTGCCGTAGGCTGGGGCGGCTCTTGTACCGAAGGAAAATCTCGGTGGCGCCCGGAGGGATGCGGGGTTTCGCTGTCCCAGACGGATGCCGGGGTGGGGGCAGCAGGGCCACGGCACTAAGCCCTTTGCCGTCTGTTTCCCTTTCAGCCCGAGCCGCCCTCGTCCAACAAGTGGCAGCTGGACAAGTGGCTGAACAAAGTCACCCCTCACAAAGCACCCATCCTCACCCACCCCGATGGCCCGGCGCTGGAAGCCCACCCGTACTACGGCCGCGTGAAGGCAGAGCGGCAGGAAGGACAGAAGACCCCGGCTGAGGGCCCGGCCGAGCATCGCAGTGAGGAGAGCCGCGCCGCCGCCGCCGCCGGGGACGGGCCGCGGCCCAGGACCGCCAACAAAGCGCCAGGCAGCAAGGGCAGCCGGCAGAAGTCACCGCTCGCTGCCGACGGCGGGCCGCCGAGGCGGGCAGCAGGGAAGAAGGCACCGCGGCGAGCCGAGAGGAACTCCGCCGGAGACGGCGCCCCCTGCCCCAGCGCAGAGGAGCCCCCCCGGAGCCACGGCTTCCCTGAGGGCGCTGCTGGCGAGGCGCCCAGGGCCCGGCCCGGCGGCGGCGGCTGCAGAGCGGGGCACCGCCGGGAGCCCCGCTCGGCTGCAGCTGGTGAGAAGCGTCGGGCCCGAGGGCCGAGCAAAACGGCGCCCAAATCCAAGGAGTTCATCGAGACCGAGTCTTCGTCCTCATCATCCTCCTCCGACTCAGGCTCTGAGTCGGAACGGGAGGAGCGCCCGCTGCCCAAGGTGCCAGCGGCAGCCGGGCCTGAGCCGCGGGGTGCCAAGGACGCGGGGAGCGGCACCGCCAGCAAACCCCACGGCGGCTGCAGTGCCTTTGGCTCTATTAATGCCAGGACTAGTAGTGAAATAGCAAAGGAGCTGGAGGAACAGTTTTACACCCTGGTTCCTTTCGGTAGGAATGAGCTCCTGTCTCCTCTGAAAGACAGTGATGAGGTAAAGTCGCTGTGGGTCAACATTGACTTGGCTCTTTTGTCCAGGATTCCAGAGCGTTTGCCCGAAGAACCGCTGGCCATGAGCGCCGGAGCAAACCAGGCGGCCAGCTTCCCGCAGGGTAGTAGTGCTGAACCCCCCGCAGAGAAGGGTTTACCGAAATCTAGAAGGAAACGCAAGGTGAGCTGCTGGGGAACCGATCACAGGGGGTAGGGGAGCCTCCAGCAAGTGGGGAGGCTAACACCGCTTGCACCCACGTCCCGTGCTCGATGGCAGCATCTTCTCCAGGCTGGCCTTTAAGAGCTGGGATTTGTCCCTGCTTTCCACGTAGGGACTGGCCAAACCCCGGAGGAAATGCCAGCCCTGAAGGTGATGGAATGCCTGACCTCGAGGGATCACAGCTCCTTGGAGACAGCGTTGACTGCTGTGTGTGTGCCTTTGCGTGCCTTAGCGAAGGCACTGCCTTTATAGTAGCATAATTTTGTCTCCTGAGGCATCTCTCAAAACCTGAGCATTTGGAAATGATGCTCAGGTCAGCAAAGGGACAACTGTCTGCTGCCTTGTAGTCGACACAGTATCACTGCGTGTATGGTAAAAGAAGAGGCAGCGTCTTTTTTACCTTCTGACTGTCAGCAAGAGGCAAGCCCTTCAGTGGCAGCAGGGATTCCTGGCTTTGTGAGGGATGGATTCGCAGAGAACTGGGACTTGACTGGTTCTGGATCCTGGATCCTGGCTCCCTCATGCCCTGGTGGCCCCATTTCCCTTGGGGCTGTAGGTGTAGGAGTAGGACCACAATCCATTAGCTGCCCCCTCCTCAGCAGCACTGTCACTGTGCTTGGGTGGGCACAGCTCTCTGCTCACATCCACCCTTCTGCCCTGCTTCTCCCACTCCCTTTCTGGGGCCAAGGGGAAAGCCCCCTCCACTCCATGGCCAAAGCTTTCTGGTCTGACCAGGCTTTCTGGCTTGTTTGTACCTATTTGACCCCAAAGTCATTCTGAACTGGAATCACCATCTGCTCAATTTCTGAACAGTTTTGCTGTGCAACCAATCGTCTGTTGCCCTCTAAGCTACTGTATATGTGCAGATGGATCTGTATATTTTTTGAGGACCGTTTATCTAAAGCAGTCTTCCATATTGTTTTATCTTTCTTCATTTTTTTGTCCTTCTTTTATTAGTATCTGAATTCCCTGGTTCAAGTGGGAAAGTAGTGGAAACCAAGTTTTATATTGTACCCCTTTCTTTACATGCTGCCTCTTATATTTTGTTTTTTAAGACATGGATCAATCATCTCTGATCCATGTTAGCTGTATACTCAAAGAAAGTATCATAATTTGTAACAAAATGACAGAAAACACCGTCCCTGACTTGTTGAAATATTTTTTGATCTGTAGTAAATCCAAACCATAAAAAATTATTACTTTTTTCTTCACTCAGTGTGAGAATGAGGAAGAGTGCAGAGACATCAAGAAGACCCACTTAGAGCGAGAGAGTTCTTCACGATTAGCTGCCTCTGCCCAAAGCATCACAACAGCAAATCACTGCAATATGAATGAAAATAGGTAAGATTTTTCCTTCTTAGTTACCACTGAATCATACAACTAGTTGCAGTTTATTGTCAGGTGTTATTTTTTTCCTTTCCTTCCTTTATTTTTTAATTATTGCATTTTATGCTGAAAAATTAACCACTGCAGTCTCTGTTCTTCTGGTTTAATGATGAAATTAGTAGCTCCTGACACATTCATGTACTTGCATTTTCATCCTGTTGCACAAAGAAGTTGTGAGCTCAAGTGTGAGGCTCATGGAACAAGTAATTATAGTTAGAGCAGTGTGATTGTCCAAGACATATTCCCTAACACTGCTGTAGGCAGCAATTCACATATACAACCATCTGATAGCCCTTTCTTAGACTTTCTTTGCTTTCTTTACTTACAAGTTGCAAGCTTTAAGTTTGACTGTATAAAAAGAATTGTGTATCAGTTGCGTGGAAAAGATTGAAAAAAATATTCATAACAATGCCTGCAATACTCAGCTCCAGAATATATTTGAGAATCAGTATTTTTGAGATTACAAGCATTCCATTCTGTGTAATTAGTAAGTATTCCAGGACAAGGAATTTAAGACTTTTTAAAAAGTGAGATTTTCAAAGGATAAAGGGCATGAAACAAAAAATGAATATTTAGCATTTGCTGGCATGGTTTATGCACACAGAGCCCTATCAATGTCAGAGCAATCACACTTGAGTTCCTCTGGGGGCTTCCAGCAGCCAAACTTAGACATGCACAGTTTCAGAGTTCAGCTGCATGCTGCTTGGTACATGCTGGTTATCAGTATTTTTGTATTATTATTTTTTTCTGGTAGTATCAGGGTACTTCTTGGGTTGAAACTGCTGCAAAATAAGAAAGAAAATATTTGTATTTATTGTAGTAGGCTTTTCTATTGTACACATCTTTGATGAGATTGAGTAATTCTTGTCATTAATACCGGAAAAAATCCCAAAAAAAACTGATATATATAGTGTTTAGTCAAAAATATGCATTCAATTTCTTTGTCTTGGCATATCACATACGTTTCATTAAGTGAAAACAATGCCCAGAACAGTTCCTTTCTTGTGGGTGGTTGCATGCAGACATGCTGTTCCTGTTACCCCAGTGTCATATGTTTTATGTTGCATTAATTTTCAGAGACTAGCATGGCTGTCATAGCTTGCTGTGTCACAGGGTTAATTCTGTGCCTCCTGGAAGCAAGACAACAATTTGTGTTTTTCTTGACATTATATTTAGTACTTGCAGTAGCAACTGTGTATTAGAGGAACAAAGAGTTTCTGAAATGTACAGTTGCCTCTCAGTTCCTGCAGTTGCCTCCTGGTGTGCTTTGCTTCCAAGACCTTTCTGTGGTTTGTGCCACAGTGTAGGACATGATTTCAAATGCTGATATTCCCACAGATGAGGAAGGGCTACTGAGGCTATAACTAAACCAGCAGTGCAGATACCAGGACCTCCTGGTCCTCTTGCAACCAGCATCTGCTCATGCTGGCACATCTCCTCTCCAGTTACACCATGCCTCTGAGGTTCTCCTGTAAATATACTCAAAAAACTCATTTGAAACCAAAACTCTTTCTTCTTTTCCTTTTCCTTTTCCTTTTCCTTTTCCTTTTCCTTTTCCTTTTCCTTTCCCTTTCCTTTTCCCTTTCCCTTTCCCTTTCCCTTTCCCTTTCCCTTTTCTTTTCTCTTTTTCTCCTCCTGTCTCTTTTACTTACTCTTTTTCTAGTTTATCTTTCTTTTTCTCTGTTTTTTCCTTCTTTTATTTTGGGGTTTTTTTAACAGAGTAGTATTATTCATCTCCCAGTAAAGCCACCCAGACAGTTTTGGCAGCACAGCTGAGGCTGGTAGCAGTGAGAGGAGCAAGACCACCTTCAGCCATAAGCATTTTCTGCTGTGGAATTACAGGCTGAGAGGCAGACTAAGTAAGATCCTGTTTGACAAGAAAGGCTGCAGGCTCAGAGATACCCCAAATCTCCTGCACCTATATCAGATCCACAGTCTGCCCATTCCCAGCAGATCACAGCTCTGACAGTCCTCTGCTGCAAGTTGTTCTGCAGGGCCTCTCAGTATAAGATTTGCTGCTCACACTAAGTTTAGGTGAGCCCTACTCAGGCCATTTGTGCAGCACAAGTAGAAATTTCAGCTACTCCTCACAAGTTCAGGGCTAAGCTTTTGAGGGTTGGGTATACTTCCAAAGAGCCATGGTCTGCCTTGGATGCTTTGGGCCCACACTTTGACAGTGATGTATAAACATGGGTAGCCAAGGCATGAGTTTATGTTTGAAAAGAGGAAAAGAAATTACAGGATCAGCCTGCACATTCAACATAATGCCAAAGATGTTCTTTTTCTTTGGAGGAGGAGAAAAGCACAGTTGTCTATCTTTCACACTCGGAGTCTTGCTTTCATAAACACCAATTGGTCATTAAAGCAAAACAGTTGACATGGTGTTTTAAAGGTACTATGCCATTTGAAACAGTAAAGGCTCTGAATTACAATTCATGGCTTCTTTTACAGCTACTTTGTAAAGACTTGCCAGATAAATGGACAAATGTATGATAAGAGCACATTTAATTAGCTCTGTTCCCTGAAATTATGTGCAGAAATGAAGTATGGTTTTTACTGTATTCTTTTTTGTGATTCCATTAAGTGTATATTGTCTGATACAGTAACTATAAAGAATTGAGAATTGTCCATAAAAAGTAATAGGCTGAATAAAGGGGAATGTGACAAGGAAAGGTATAGTGTTAAAATTGTCTTCCTGACCTTAATCACAGTTTTAGTCTTAATGCCAACTATCTTCTTAAAATAACTTGCATTTTTTTTGTGTGTTGTTTTAAGATTTTCAGCTAAATATTTTCTTCAAATTAATGCATGTGAAGTTCATTTCTGGGCATATTTATAAGGTTTCTGACTTCCCATCCAAAACTTCTCCCAAATAAATGAAAGCTGAAAATACTGTCAGTGTTACAGCTTTCTGCTTTAGGTGATAGATCAGTTCCCATTTCTCTGTGTCTACTGTTTGCATATGTTTCCTTTTGTCTGCATTATCAGCCTATCTTTCTTTATCTTCAAAATCTGTATTAGATTAGTATAAACACTGCTACCAAAGGCTAGGCACTGAGCACAAAGACAAGCCAGTCATCTTTAAACACATTTCCTGTTTTAGTTCACATATGGTTTTATTGCCATGGCTTATAAATTGTCACCTGTAATGGTGAAATAGGGCTCCATAACCTGAACTTACACTTCAGAGCCTAATCTTCATCTCCAGCTATCCCTTAAGAAATGGTGAGCAAGTAGCCATTTATCTCTGTATTTTTTTTCAAGCACTCTGATACAGACTTTATATTAACTCCAGAATGACAATTTGCCTTGAAGGGAAAGAGAAGAAACATGATACAAATTTGTAAATGAACTCTTGGTCCCAATACTGTGAGCTCGTTTCCAGATACCAATAGACTTTATCCTGCCAGCAGGTTTTAAATTCAAAGTTTTGGTAATATATAAAACATTTACCTTTCTCAAAGCCAGCTTTGTGACACTCCATTACTGTAATTTCCATTTCCAGCTTGGCAATACCAATAAATAAAAATGAGAAAATGCTTCGGTCACCCGTCTCTCCCCTCTCTGATGCATCAAAACACAAATATTCCAACGATGATTTAACTTCCTCCAGCAGACCTAATGGCAGCAGTCTATTACCTTCAATCTCCTCCAGCAAAAAACATAAGGGTGAAATCCAGTCACAGCCACATCCTGGGGACTTCAATGTAAGTGTATGCTGTTGTTCACAATATAAAGCTTAGCAGTGTATTTTCCACTTTGTATTGCAGTCTGTGATAGTTTTTGCAGAACGATATGCAAAAAAATAGAAAAGTTGTAATAATGAATGTTATTTTCTAAGTTCAGCTTTTCTGGTTTGGAGTTTAGCAAGGCATAGAAGAAAGGAAAGAGGGCAGGCTGTAACACAAGCAAATAGCAAAGGCTACATAAGCAAAAGGTAAAAGCTAATGGCCCAAAACGAATGGTTTTAGGCCTCCAGAGCATTGCTTAGGCATGATGCAAGCCCTCTACATTCATGGTGCATAAGGCTCCTTCTGTATAAGGGCTCACTCAGCCACTGCCTAACCATGGGTGTGCCTGCAGACAAATTCTTCTGTCTTAGAACAAACTTCTACAGATTCTGCTTATACCAGTGACAGCACCAGCCTCACAGCTCAGTTCCATCAGAGTTGTGTTCCTTATCAGAGAGTCTTGCTTGAACCAAGTGTGCCCAGAGCACTCTTCCAGATAAGGCTGTACTACAACCCTGCATTGTGGCCTCTGCCTTCAGAGCACAGAGAGAGAGGAGTAGATGCTTCCTCCATTTCTGCATGAGTTCTGTGGTTAGAATGCTGGACTGAACAGCCCATTAGCTCTTTTAATTGAGGAATTTCCATCTCTCTCTCATCTGATCTTTTAAAATCATATCCTACCCTCCAGCCTACAGACACTGAGAGTAGGTGATCAAAGGCAGACTACTGTCAGCTCCTCCCCATGACGCTGTTCTGCTTTGTGTGAAATACCTAGAAGAAGCAATTTGGATACCGTCATCTTGGTGCCCACTGCTGTGGCATCTAGAGAAGCTGTTGAGGCACTCTGCTGCCCATGCTTCTCTCCTTGCTACAAAAGCCATTAATGTTTTTTATTCTGTATCTATTTGCTGTGTTCGTTATTTGATGTAAAAGAGGCTTCAAAACCCCAAGTATTAGTGCCTAAGCAACTAGGAAAACAAGCTACCTGAATTGTAGCAGTGGCATCTTCCAGCAATTTTTGCTGTGGGGATAAGTGATCCCCTTTTATCTGTTAAGCATATATGTTTACTTTTTTTTTTTTTTAAGAGCAGAGGAGGAAGTAGTAAATATAATCTTAATTTTGGACACATTTTCAAAAACAGGTTACCATAAATTGTGTTTTCCAAGAATATCTCACAGATGCTCTTGGTAAATTGAAAAAAACCAATTACATAAAATACTCCAGTAAAAAGTCCTTTAACATGTTATAGTTATTCATTTATTTTTCATTAATTAAATGTAAAGTTTTAAACATGCAAAACATAAAGTTTTAACTTGCAAAACATAAATTTAGAAGTTTATAACCCATTCAGAATTATAATTATGATTCTTCACTGAGTATCTTGAAAATAATTTAAATTCCTTCACAGGCAAATGTGCTGGAAATCAAAAATAAAAGATGATTGCTTTATGATCCACACCCTTAGCAAATGCATTTCACTAAGATTTTCTGCATAGCCTAGCAATGCACCATTTGGTCAACATTTAACAACCTTTGCAATAAAATTCTTATGTATCTGGTTATTCATCTGAAAACTTTAGCCTGATGAGCTGATCTGGATGTGCCATATAGAAGATGAGAGCTCATGAACTATAAATGTTAAACTTAGCTTTGTTTTATCCCATGTTCCAGCATGGCATCCACCTGGCAGGCCCAAGTGGCCCTTCAAATATCTGTGAGAAGCTGCAAGCAAAGCTTGCCCACAGTGGGCATTTATCCATTTGAGCTTTTTTCCCCATGTCCCTGGTGCCTTTCTGCCTGTCACCTGACATTGGAACAGCATTTTTTGGCAGTGGTTATCAACTCAAAACCACCTGGGGCCCTCTGTTTTGCTCCATACCAGGGCACAGTAGCCCCCACAGCAGGTCATGGTGGGATGAAGGTGCTCAGGAGGCCACATGAAGAACAGGGCTGCAGCTGAGGGACTGCAAGAGACCCTGCCAAAAGACATGTGCTTCCACTGCAGCACAGAGAAGTGACATTTCAAGCTGATCAGGGAGCTCTGGAGCACAAAGAAACCTGGACTACAAATTCATCCAGCACAGGCACATCACCAGTGTAGTGTGAAACAAGTCAAACATGGGCCGTGCTCTCCTAAGCAAGGCACAATGCTTGGTTGGAAGCTGAAGGCCAGAGGTATAACTTAATCTTCTAAATGACAACAGATCTATACTTTAATAATTTCACTTACTGTATTTCAGAGTATTTTGATAGTTACTAATATTTTAGCTCAGTTTCTGCTGTATATCATATTGAAACTCAAACCCTTTACAAACTGCTCTGAGCAGTATCTGTGAATTTGTGGCCATCAATGTCAGGACACTTACACATACTCCCTGCTGAAATAGCAGGAAAATTAACTTCCAATTTACAACACAATGCAAAGACTCTCTGGTTTTTGTTACTTGGGGTTTTTTTAAGTTATTAGCCAATTCTTAAATGTCTTATCTACTGTTTGTTGTCTAGAAAGCGATTCACATCAATTCAGAAAATGTTCTTCTCTGCAATAAGCCACAGTTCCAGACAGAGCCTTGGTCACCTCTGTCCACCACACCCAGGGACTGCAGAAGAACAAAGCTTATCTTTGATGATATGTGAGTATATATGACTTTAAAATAAAGAAAACAATGGCATTTAAAGAGAGAAAAATACAATTTGTCCAACAGGAACTGAGACATTGCATGCAGTATTACAGTAATACTGTACATTGAGAAATGAATAAGAAATAATATATAAATTATAATTAATTTTTCATCATAAATTAAGTTTCTAAACATAGAATTGTAGAATGTATAGAATCATGGAGTCACAGAATGGTTTAAGTTTAAAGGTACCTTAGAGATCACTGAGTGCCAATTCACTCCTTGGGAAGGGCTGCCCCCAGCTAGACCAGGTTGCTCAAAGCCTCACTGAACCTGTCCTGGAACACTTACAGAAAGGGATAACTCCACAGCTTCTCTGGGCAATGTTTCCATACTGCACCTCACAGTAAAAAATTTTTTCCTAACAGCTAATCTAAACCTATCATCTTTCAGTTTTGAGTCACTTCCACTTGTCCTGTCAAAAGCCCTTGTCAAAAGTCCCTGAGCATCAGGGAGCAGTGAGGAGTGGCTGTTCCCTAAAGGACAGGGAGCCAAGAGCCAGGATCACAATGCAGCTGGCAGGGGTCCAGTCCCACAACACCCAAGCCAAGTGAGAGGGCAAGCCTGAGGTTGGAGTCATCCCTGAGCCTTGACAGCTGCTACTGTCGTGGCTACTTCTGCTCAGCTAAAGGTATCACAAAGGCAGGGGGAACAGGAAGCAGCAATGGTTAGCATGAGTATCTGGAGGGATACCTGGCCCTCCCCACTTCTACTTCATTCTTCACATATCCCTTGCTCTTGCTCTCCTCCTCTTAAAATAATCTAAACTTCTAACTGTCCTTATTTTTGGTAAATTAAAAAAGCTGGTTTGTCCCCAAGGTCATTTAGGACAGAGTATTATTTAGTGAATATAATGGTGAAACTGAAGGTTGAAATCCTAGGATCTAGAATACCCAGATTCTTTTTGACTGGTATGGCCTGCACATACTGATATTTGGTTTTGGGTAGTGTAGAAGAGGTTCTGTTCAAGGTATGCCTCAAACTGCCTGAAGCTCTGAGCTGTGTGCCCTTGACATATTTTTCATATGTCCAGACTTTCACCCTGACATCTCAAACTCCTTTATACCAAAGGAAACCCTGGGATAACAAACAACCTAGTTTCCTTAGGAACTGTTTTCTACCAAAATTGTGATTTTTAATTTATTATTATTATTACTGTTGTTATGCTTGTTCACAGTATATGGTCTCAATGCTAACTAGCAAGACAGCAGCAGCCTCTCATAAAAAGAAACCATGTATCCTACTATAAGGTATAAATTCCTGTGGACTTCAAAAGGATATGGTCAAGAAAAGAGGACTAGTGAGATTAATTTTTGTGTATATTCACGGCAGTCATAAGCAGATGTAAGCTAAATAAATGTAACCAGTTTTTCCACCTCTTTTGGAGAAAACTCCCCTGTGTATACATCCTTATTCACCCTCTTTCTCCACCTCCCTCCATGTTTTTAACTCTCTTGGTACACTTATTCAACAATCTCCATTGAGGAAACTTGAAACTGTTTATAAGTACTACCTAACTCTTCATATGTCTTAAGATACTCTGTCATCTATAATTTACTTGCAACTGCTCAATTTTTTCTGCAGTTTAAACAAGTACATACAAGGCAGAAAGGTGTCAGAGTGTCTGATAAAAGTCAAAATTGGAGGATGTACTCATCTCTGGATTAGAAAAAACATAGAAACAGTTACAACAAAGCTATTGTGTCTTCATCTGATTTTCCCTCAAGCTGCCAACAAACAAACAAAAAAAAAAAAACAGGGGGAAATGGTTTGTTTTGTTTTTCCCCTAGGATATAGTCATAGGAGATCTGCTTTGGTCACTGTCTCTATCATCTGAGGCTTTTATCACCAGCTTTCTCCATTAGTGTTACAAGTGATTCCTCTGGCAAGCATCTCCTATAAAACTTTCATCTTTTCAGAGAGAGACACAATTAAACTGTTCATGTGTAGTGCCTTCCATGTAGAATATCCCCAAGCAACTTGTAGACCACTAAAACAAAGTCTAAAAAGGCAAAAAAGATAAAACACAGAGGCAAATATGTCCTAATTTGGCCTTAAAAGCCAGAAACAGTTAAATGCCAGTTGTGCTAGCTAGAGGAGGGAGCTTGTCAAGTGCTACAGCTGTCATCCACAACTTGTAGCTGGGATACAACACCAGAATACCAGCTACACTGGATCTTCTTTCTGAAATTCCTGTGCAGGGGAGTCACTGAAATGTAGCAGATTAGACTGGCTGCAAATGTTAAATGTCAACAAATTTGACTCACGTGTTAGAAGGATCAAATTAAATATGGCAGCCAGCGCCTTTCAAATTTGTATAGCACCACAGCAGAGGATTTGAAGGAATGCAATACAGTAGGTCTAAATTATGTAGTAATCCTAATGGCAGCATTTGTCCTAAATGATGCCTATGAAGTATTTCATGTCATAATCTATGAAGTTCTGAATTACTGTAATCCAACCATGGCTTTAAGGTCTTATTTTTAATCAGACTCTAAAGTTTTAAAGAGACTAAATCCCTTATATTTGATTTGAAACAACAACTAATTTTTTTGACCAGTCAGTGTCTCTTTACTGTATTCTCAATTTATTTTCTCCAGATCATTGACAACAGCTGTCACTAGCAATAAATTGGAGCACAAGTAGGTCAGTAAAAAGTATATCTTGCTTGGCAGAGTGCTGTATGCACATACACTGCAGTAAAACAGTAAATATAACTAACAGTCTTCAAAAGACAGGCAAAAGTCTCCTTCCCCTGGTTTGCCATTGTTTGCTGGTGAATCTGAATATACTTAGAGGTACCCAGCATGCCACATGTGTCAATGACATCAATGCCGTGTCCAGTAGTAATTTTTAGTAAGATTTCCTGGATTTTTGGTGACTTCTGACTCCATGAAGAGAGCATTTTCAAGGCTACATAATAATGCTTCAAGGCATAATGAGTCCTTCTGTGATTTCACTGAATAACAGAATTCCCAATAACTGCATTTAGAAACAAAGTCTGTTGTCCTTGAAGTGCTAGGCATAGACATCCTGTGGGTGCCCAAGGGCACCCTCAAAATACTGCTTATGTGGTATAAAAAAATAGCAGAGTGTACCCAGCTTCCCATCTTTCCTTATAATTTAATTTAGAACATGCTCCTTGGGATTACTTTTTTACTTGAATTTTGAGTTATAATTTCAAACTTGAGGTGTTCTTTTTCTTCACTTACATTTATTTTTCTTTTTTTCTTGCCTTATAGGAGCAAGATAATACATCTTCTACATCATTTTTTATAAGTTCATATTTTGTTGAATGTCTCTTCCACCTCTATGGGTCTAGGTGCTACAGACACCCATCAGCTATACATTGTCCAAGGGACATACTCTGTAGTGAGATAGAATTCTCTATACTGTTTGCCAAACAGTAAACCACATACCCAGAAAATATTCACCTGTAAATGTGTTACATATAGAGCTTATGAAAATAACTTCCTGGCACATCTCTTTGTTTTGACTTGAACTCCAAGTGTCTCATTTTCAGTCTTCTCTTCCTTGTTATTCCTCCTTAAAGTGGAAAGGAAAAAGTGCTCTTAGGTTGTGACTCATACATCTGGAAGTGATCTTACTTGAATTGTTCAAAATGCCTTAAGGATTCCTGAAGTATTTAGAGGTACTTTTGTAGTGTTGAACACATCCTGAGGAGCACAGTTCAGGAATAGAGAGCGGCTCCTCTTTCTTCTCATCAGCAATCTAGAAAATAACTAGTCAGATCAACCCCAAAGTTCTTCACAAATTCATATGCCTACTGTGGACTGCTCTGAGTTTCTCGGCTTTAGGGGATTTCAAGATTTGATCTGACCCTCCCAGTCTTCCTCTTCTTCCCTTCTTATTCATGGCACTGAATTTCTCACATGAATGCTGACCATGAGAAAATAACATTAGACATGCCAGACACTGCCTCCCATGATTAGATAATTTAGCTGCCTGCTCTCTGCAAGACCCCAGGTCACCTTTAAAGGGACACTTTATGAGGGCTTGTTTTGGTGGGAGATTGATGCTTCATCAGCTCTAGCAGGAGATTTTCAGAGTATAGGATATATAGCCACTAGTCCCTGTTGCCAAAGCCAGAGCTGTGGACCTCTTTTGAACTTAGCTGCATACATGTCCCTCCTCTGCTTCTGTAGGCAAGGGGTTCAGCAGGCTGATGTTCATATGATTAAACTGTCTTCACTCCCCAAAACAAACCACATTCACTGTCTCCTGAGAACAGTCCCTAGCCTATGCTGTCCCCAGGCTGTGCCCAGGCATTGTCTGAGCTCAAAACTATGCCAGGGAGAATATTAGCAATTACACAGCATGGATGATCAAATGATAAAGCTGATATCCTTGCCCTCCTTATTTCACTTGCGCAGGCACAGCCAAGGAATGAATGGTTCTATTGACAGACTAAGGTTTGAAATAGTCTCTGAATATTTTGCTACTTATGAAAGAGAATTTTTTTGTGTCAATTAATTTTAGTGTAGCTTTTTCTTACTCTACAGATTGACTAGAAAATATCTTCAGTTCACTGTAAATCATAACAGCAAGCAGGACAAGGGTCTTCTAATCAGGTTCAGCAAACACCCCTCCAGGTTCCAGAAGCAGAACTGAGTTTCAGAGGTGGGAGAGAACAGTCTCTTCCAGCAGTCTCTCCCAGTCTTTCCTCACGTCTCCATGGTGAGCCATGAGCAGATGTCTGCAGTGCATAACGAAGACAGTCCAAACCCTGCAGCTCTTTGAGTAGTCAAATTCTCACACTGAATATGAGGAAGTCTCATCTAAGTTCCCATTGTTTTTGCTGTTCTACCACATCTCTGGTTCTTGTCAGAGCTTGTTTTCCTAAGGTTTTGTTTCTCTACTAATATCTACAAATCCATTGCAGTGTAACTGGGGGTTTGTCTGCTTGTGCTGGATCACAGAATGGTGTGGGT